TGACCCTGAGCAAGTCACTTGACTGCTGTCTGTCTCAGTTTCCTCAGTTGTAAAATGGGGATAATAGCCCCTACCTCACAGGGTTGTTGTGAGGATCAAATGAAATAATATTTGTAAAGCACTTGGCACAATGCCTGGCGCATGACAATTATTTAATAAGGACCTATTCCCTTCCTCCTTTCCCTCTTACCCCTGATGGGCCAGAACAGGGATGATGGCACCAGCCACTTACTGTTTTAGTGACGTGGCTTTGTCACAAGTTAGAGGTGGCTCGGCTGGCTATGATTTGGCTATAGATGGATTTGAAGCCAAGGGACCTGGGTTTGAATCCCAGCCCTGCTATTTATTGCCACATGACCTTGGACAAGTCACTTCATTCTCTGGGCCTCAGTTTCCTCATCTGTGAAATGAGGTCAGTCGTACTAAATAAGCTCTGAGATCATTTCCAGTTTTCCATCCTCAGATCCTGTGGGCTTTCAGTGAGGGAGCCAGGTGACCTTGAGCTATTTAGGGGAAGAAGCTCCAGTTTCAGTAGAGGAAGCTTCTGCTATGCCCCTAGGAAGATGAATGGCTCGGTGGGGCAAATACCATAGATTGCTCCTGCAGTTGGGTTCAGCCGGGCTTCCCTGATGTGACAAAAGAAGCCTGGGTTGTTCTTGGAGTCCCTGAGCTAGGGATAAGTGGAGGAATGTGGATGCCAACTGCAACACATGACCTGGGGGTGGGGGTGGACTCCCCTCAAGTTTTGAATACAGCGGTGAACTGGGATGGGGTAGAGGAGAAAGCCTGAGCAAAAATGTAGCAATGACGCCGTTCAGGGTGTTCAGGACCCTGCTGACCCCCTTGTGTGGCCATCCTCGCTTCCTGTGGCCAGCTCTCCTAGCTAGAAAAGAAGGCAAAGTCCCTACCTTAAGCATGCTCACAATCTAATGAGAGAAGGGAAGTCTCAAACAGGATAGTAACAGTGGGAAAAAAGAATGTTAGACACGGAAGAGATTTAAGAACAGAATGTCAGAGCTGGGAAGGATCTGTGAAGAATATTGTAGTCTATAATTCTTTTTTTTTTTTTTTACTCAAAGTATGGTTCTTATTCAAATTCAAACTAATCTCCAAAATGTTGAGAGAAAAAATCAACAGAAGGAATTGCATCTCAAGTATTACGTGAATCTAGTTTAGACTCAAAACTTTCTAAAATGCTAAGGGGAGGCAATTAATTAAATTAACAACAGCCACCACCACCATCACCTCCACCACCACCACCACCACTGCCATCACACTTTAATTAGGTGTTATCAAGTGTCCAGAACACAAAAGAAGTCGGCCCTCTCAAAGGAGTCACAAGATTCACATGCAGCAAATAGTAGGTTAGGGAAGTGTTTGTTTATTTATTTTTAAATCTCAGTGACGCAGAAACTTCTGAAAATGGAGGGAGAAAAGAGGGGATCTCTCTCTAGAGCTAAGTGACCAATCTTTTTTTTTTTTTTTTTTTTTTGGCTAGGCAATGGGCTTAAGTGACTTGCCCAGGGTCATACAGCCAGTAAGTGTCAAGTGTCTGAGGTCAGATTTGAACTCAGGTCCTCCTGACTCCTGGGCTGGTGCTCTATCCACTGTGCCACCTGATAAATGACGAATCTTATGCCCATTACCTACACGCTGACCCTCAGCTGTGCTATCTTCCAAACATATTCCTAATAAGGAAGGCATCTCTATAATTCTTTTTTGTTTTGTTTTGTTTTGTTTTTGCTTTTTTGGTGAGGCACTTGGGGTTAAGTGACTTGACTAAGGTCACACAGCTAGTAAGCACCTCTCTAATTCTTAAAGCCAGAAGGAATCTATCCCAAATCCCTCATTTTACGGGTGAGGCAACTGAGGTTTCAAGAGTTAAGTGACTTGCTAAGATTTGTGGTCAGATCCAGGCCTCGTGGCTAGCCAGAAGGCAGGGGTCAGAGTGGCACTGCCACAGGATCAGTCCTGAGGTCGGGGATGTGGAGTGCTCATACTCTTCCTGATCTTGACATACCTCAAAGAAGTCTGGTAGGCCTTTAATCTCTGTTTTGGGGCAGGAGAAATTGAAGGTCTAAGTCATTCAGCTAATTATCAGGCCAAGTGGGGAGCCTAGCTCTCCTGATTCTTGGGGCTATGGTTTTTCTGTTTCCCACATGATGCCTCCTCAGTGTAAGACCAGAGCAGAAGCATCCTTCCTCCCTACCCCACTCCCATCAGCATCGGGGTAGGAACCACCTATTTTGCCCTGAGAAAAGCCAAGAGGACCAAACCATTGCCTTCCTGGCCACTCCGTAACGGTGAGCTCTCAGTAAGAAGGTTCCTATGACTTAAGAGTTTGCTAAAATATCAGAAAGCAGCTAGTCCAATCCTGCTTCAACCTGTTCTGGCATTTTAGCAAGGGCACCATCCTTCTCTGGGGCTCAGTTTTATCTTTCTGACAAATGGGGCAACCACTGACACCTAGGATAGACATTCATGGTTGGGAAGCCAGAGATAATGTGTGCCTAATATAACCTGGGGTCAGAAGAGGAAGAGGAGAGTGTTGAGGCTAAGCTAGGCTAGGCCAGGCTAAGTGTCTCAAATGTGTCTCCCTCCCTCAGGGATTTTGCTGCAGGACTGTCTGCTCCCTTTCCCAGAACCACTAGCATTATTTTTAACCCTGCTGACAGTGGGGAGATAATCCTATGTGAAATCAAGAAGAGAGCTCTTCTACTGCAGTACTAACCCCTTCCCCAGGAAGACCCCCCCCAAAACAGCACTGCCCACCCCTCTCCCCAGAAGCCCTCTGACTCAGTACTATTCTCCTGATGGTCAGCCACCTCTAGGAAGCCCCTCCCTAACACTTTTCTCCCCTGGATATTTGGAAGCCCCCTAGTGATTCCAGAGCTACCCATGGGATAACTAATCAGATTTCCTTGCCCTACATCTGTGTGCTTAGAATAGGGGACACATACTTCTAGGGGTAGTATCATTACAGTAAGACTTGAAGGAGAAAAGAAATCATAGAATGACAACACAAAGCCTGACAGGCTATGGCATCCCCAGTGGGGCTAATACAAAATGATTGCCAAATAACTCACATTTCTATAGCACGTTAAAGATTCCAGAGTTTGAGTTTTTTGTCCCCTCACAATAATCCTGAGAGAGTGAAATTATTGTTGTTCCATTTTACAGATGAGGAAACTGAGGTCCAGAGAGATTAAAGTGACATGTCCAAGGTCACACATAGAGTTAGTAGTAGAACCAGGGTTCCTGAACCATTCCTTCTTCCCACTTCCTACCCCTAGAAGTATGTGTCCCCTATTCTAAGCACACAGATGTAGGGCAAGGAAATCTGATTAGTTATCCCATGGGCAGCTCTGAAATCACTAGGGGGCCTCTAAATATCCAGGGGAGAAAAGTGTTAGGGAGGGGCTTCCTAGAGGTGGCTGACCATCAGGAGAATAGTACTGAGTCAGAGGGCTTCTGGGGAGAGGGGTGGGCAGTGCTGTTTTGGGGGGGGGTCTTCCTGGGGAAGGGGTTAGTACTGCAGTAGAAGAGCTCTCTTTTTGATTTCACATAGGATCCTACAGTGCTTTACCATTTATAAAGTACTTTTCTCACAACTCTAAGCAGCAAGCAGTATAAATTTTAATATCTCCATTTATTTGGAGGTAAAATGACTTGCCCAGGATCAAATAGCTAAGAAGCATCAGAAGTGGGTTTGAATCTAGCTCTCGACCCCAAGAAAATAGCCCTTCCTTCTACACCAGGCTGCGTGTAAACACACAGAGTATATGAAAGTCAACGTGTGTTTATGTAGGCAGCAGGGGGTACTAGGGAGTTAGGCAGGCTTAGCAGCAAGTTGGGGGGTTAGGGTGGAATCGGGGAGGGAGTGATGGAGAAAGAGGTAGTGAGTGATGGGGGAGGGACTTCCTTGTTCCCTCTCATCCTGTCTCCTTTGTGGAAGCACTCTCCCTCTTCCCTCCAGGGAATGGCTTTCTTTTGGGACCCAGTTGTCCAACTATGGCAACCAGTGGTTCATAAAGGAGACCAAACTGCAGCTGCCCCCGATTTGTTCCCTTGCAGCCTGACACTCTCACCAGCTTGGGACTTTTTTCCAGGAGCAGCTGAAAGCCAAATACACATGCTCTACACTCTATTTACTGCTTTCATAGCTTTAAGCCCGCAGCTCAGCTCTCACTGATCACACCTTTCATCTCCCTAGACGAGCAAGGACTCTTAACCTCATTTGTGTCATGGACCCCTCCGGCAGTTATTAAAATATAGAATTAGAAAGAAAAAGTTCAGAGATCCCAGGTTAAGAACCCTTGCCTAGAGTAAGAATTGTTTTCTATCTTATCATTTCTCTGTGTGTAAGCTTAGCATTTCTGATGGCCAAGAGGGTTTCATAGTAGGTAAGTGAGATCTAAGTTGAGAGCCACAGATAAGGAAAGGATGAGCTTGACCTTTTGGCTAAGTGGAAACGAGGTAGAGGGCTTCATTAGGAGGTCAGAAGGAGCCCCTGGATCCATCCCATACCTTGGACCAGAGCCGGGTATCCCCGGCACTCTGGCTGCCTTGGATACAGCACGGGATCAGTCCAGATCTTCTGATAGGCTCACATGCCTTATCTCCCATGCTTTGCTCTTGAGTTGTATCTTCTTGCTGGTCTGGCTCACCAGCATCTTTTACTCACAACTCTTTTTTTTTTCCAAAGGCGAGGTGGAGGTGGGGGATCAGGATAGATGAGAGTCAAGGTTGGCCCATCTGGAGTTAGTCTTCTCTATCCCAAAGACAGGTTATAAACCTTTGTATTGCATGGACTCCAAAGTGAGCATGCATGTGTAGAGATACATATCTCTGTACATACTTATGCATGAACATGTAAATACCCACCTCAGGGAATTACCGTAACTGGAATGAGGATCCTCTTTCCACGATCAATAACATTATTGTGCTGGGGTGAAAGTGCCCTGGAGAGACCTTGAACTCTCTGTGTCTTGTTTCCCCAGGACAAGTCATGCCAAGGCCAAGGCGGATGGAGCAGAGCAGGCCGCAGTGGCGGCCAACAGCGAATCCAGCATTGCACGGACCCTGGCCAGGGAGCTGTCTCCGGACTTCTACCAGCCAGGTAAGACATAGCATGGTGTGGCATGGGCTAGCAGAGAGAAGAGAGGGAGGAGATTTCAGGACTTTTCCTCAGATGTCTCTTAGCCATCCAAGCACCAACTATCGTAAGAACAACTCACTTTTCCAGAACGCTTGATGGTTACGTGATGCTTTCACATTCCTTATCTCATCCAATCCTCATGACAAGCCTGAGAGATAGGCAGGGCAGGTATCATAATTCTCATTTTACAGGTTAGGAAACTAAGACTCAGACCATGTCTCTGAGGTTGCCAGGCTCTGTGTAGCAGAACCAGGACCCAGATCCAGGTCTTCTGACTTATAATCCAAAGCTCTCTCCACTCTGTAAAACTCTATAAAACTCCCTCTATATGTGGAGAATGTGGAATTTAGGTTGGACCTTGAACGATGGATAGGATTTCCCTTTCCATTTCCGTTTCCTTGGTCCTCTTTTTTTCAAGGGTTCCCTCTACAAATGTAGGCCAGCTCCTGGAGGTATAGGTAGGGATGTCACACAGTGCAAAGTGATGGACTTGGAGACAGGAAAACCAGAGCTTGAACCTTGCCCCAGGCAATTATTAGCTCTGTGACTCTCAAAATACATAGCCTCTCTGTGCCTCAGTTACCTTTTCTGTAAAATGAGGATAATAATAGCACCTGCCTCCCAAGGCTGTTGTGAGGATCAAATGAATTAATATATGTAAAGTCTTTTGCAAACCTAAAAGCATTATGTACATGCTAGCTATTATCATGGCTGTTGTTACTGTTACGACCAAGATGTGACTTCTACACAAACATCACAGTATAATGAAAAGAGTGCATTCACATCTGGGTTCAAATTGATGCTCTGACAATTTATTAGCTGTGTGACAGTGAGCAAATCACTTTATCTTTCTGAGACTCAATTTCCTCTTCTTTAAAAGGGAATTAATAAGGGGTAGCTAGGTGCTGAAGTGAATAGAGCAATGGCCCTGGAGGCAAGAGGCTCTGAGTTCAAATTTGACCTCAGACACTTACTAGGTGTGTGACCCTGGGCAAGTCACTTAATCCTGATTGCGTCCCACTCCTCACCCAAAAAAAGGAAGCTAAAAATATTTATATTATGAGGGCCATAGGGAATGTACTTTTTAAAACTTTAAGCACTATGTAATATTAAGTTATTATTATTATTATAGTCTCATTTTTTTTTCATCTTTGTCAATGGGGCTATCATAGAAATGGTCCTGGGACAAATCACTGTCATCCTAGTAGGAATAGAGATAAGGATGGTTGAGCCTGTGATGTCACTGGTAGAAGGGAGTCCAGTCAAACCCAAATACAAATGGAAGCCTGTAATCGAGCCAAGGAGTGCACAAATTAACATTATCTATGTCGCATGGTATTTTTTATTTATTTTGTTAAACGTTTCCCAAAGGCATCTTTATGTGGTTCCAGCTGCACTTGGGAGTTTTGTAGGCTCTGATTTTGATGACTCTGGTAGAGAACTCCTGGATGGGAAGACCCTCAACGAGGCAGTGTGCCACTCTGCCACTTATGGTCTTAAAGAGTTGTTGAGAGCACTGAGAAATTAGGTGACTTGTTCAGGGTCACAGAGCCAATGCAAGCAGAGGTGACGCTTAAATCCAGGTCATCCTGGCTCCAAGGCCAGCACTCAGTCCATTATTTTATGATTGCCTCTTGCTGTCCTACTATTATTCTTTTATATTTAATGTCCTGTAGGCTATTACATGGGTAGATAAAATAGCCACTGTTTATAGTTAGGTGGTCCAGTGGAAAGAATGCTGGTCCTGGAGTCAGGAAGAGCTGAGTTCAAATCCAGTCTCGGACTCTTATTAGCAGTGTGACCCTGGGCAAGTCACTTAACCCTGTTTGCCTCAGTTTCCTCATCTATAAAATGAGCTGGAGAAGGAAATGGAAAACCACTCCAGTATCTTTGCCAAGAAAACCCAATATGGGGTCACTGAGAGTCAGACATGACTGAAATGACTGAACACCAACATCATAAAATAAAAGCATCAGGATGTAAGCTTATCCTCTGTGTAAAGATCACTGAAAGTATCCTCAGTCCAACTCCAGTAGTAGACAGGACAATGGGGATAATACTCACCTCATACCATTTCCAAATAATTTTGATCTTCTCTGCTAAATCTCTGTATTTTGAAACCTTTCATTCCATGTAAGTTAGAAATCAATTATTTGGTATGGTGATATTTATTTTAAAATGTGTCTTAAATTTCTTTGTATCTATCACTCTTCTCATATGATATCCTCCAGCAGAAATGGTCCTGGGAGGTCGCTATTTATTCTTTATTGTTGTTCAGTCATTTTTCAGTCATGTCTGACTCTTTGTGACCCCGTTTGGGGTTTTCTCAGCAAAGATCCTGGAGTGATTTGCCATTTCCTCCTCCAGTTCATTTTATAGACGAGGAAACTGAGGTAAACAGGGTGAAGTGACCTGCCCAGGGTCACATAGCTAGTAAGTATCTGAAGCCAGATCTGAACTCAGGAATATGATTCTTCTTGACTCCAGGTCTGACATTTTATCCACTGTACCACCTACCTGCCTGGTATATAATTCTAACAAGCTGCTGGTATAAAATTCTGCCATTTGATCAGGTCTTTGGTTGGTGCTAAATTTTTGCATCCTGCAGTCCTGGGATGCACCATTTCTATTGTTTTCTTGCATAATCTGCGTCAATTACTAAATGCTAGTTTCTTAAGGATGACCCTTCTCTAATTTCTGGTGGCAATGACTCAGTCCTAAATCACTGTCTCCATTCCTGTAAATGAGCCAGAATGACTCAGCTGTGTGTTTATTATTATCATTATTATTCTCCCTAGGCCCTGAGTACCAGAAACGGAGGTTGCTCCAGGAGATCATAGAGAATGCTGAAAGTGTTATGGAGAATGTAGGCCGTGGAGAGGCCCCAGGCATCCAGGAGCCCCCTCCAGAGAGCCCCCAGCTACATGAACGGGAGGCCTCCCTCCAAGGGGGTGGCACTCCAGCCCGTACGCCATCACCCCACCTTGCAGGGACACCCCCTGAGGCTAAGCAGCCTAGGCCTGGAACACAGAAGGATGGCTTCCTGAGTCCGGGAGAATGGAACGGGGAGCAGAGCCGAGAAGGCAGCCGTCCAGTAACCCCATCTGATGTGGGTCCTGGTGAGAGAAGCAGCAGGAGCCCCACAAGAACCCCTACTGACCACATGGAGATCCAGCCCCTGCAGCCACCACCCCCACAGCCCACTAGGGAGCCAGAAGTAGCACTCTACCAGGGGTACCACAGCTATGCTGTCCGCACGTCGCCCCCTGTCCCACCACCTTTTGATGAGGAAGAGGCAGATGGTGCTTCCCCCACTACACCTGTGACCCCCTCAGCCTCTCCAGTGTTGAAGCCAGACATCCAGCCTAATGTGGAGGCCCTCCCAAGGGCCACTACACCCCCCAAGCCGGAGCTGAAAGCCAGGGCCCCCAAAACAGAGCCAAAGCATCCACCCTCTCCCATCAAGGCAGACACCGCAAGCCACACTAAGCCCACCAGAAAAACAGAGGCCCGAGGTTCATCCAAGGGTGGGGCCAAAAAGAAGGGACGTCGAGAAGTAGCGGCTGCAGCCTTGGAAGCCGAGACAGAGCTGGAGGAGGTAATGCTGGCTGGGCTGGGGCTGGAGTCGCCATCCCCACATAGAAGTGGTGGTTTCTACAGAAGGATCTATTTACAGTCAGGTGGGATCTTAGAATTCATCTAGTCATCTCCTCTCAGTTTACAAATAAAGAAACTGAGGCCCAGAGAGGGGAAACTCATTGCCTAAAATCACTCAGAAAGTAATGTCAGGATTCAAACCCAGACCATCTGATTCCAAGCCCAGGGTTCTTTGTCACTATACAATGGACATCTTTCTGGCTTATAACCCCTGCAACCCAATGATAGACAGCCAGACCTGCCAGGAAGACTCACCAACAGGAAGGGAAAGAATGCTTCCTGACACATTCTCACATCCTAGAGAAAATGGGGTAGCTATGGTAACAGAAATGATTAAGGTTAAGTCTCCTTCACTGGTGGAGACACCAATGGGAGATACCAAAGGCCTCAGCTTGCCTGGAAATCTTCAATAACTGGTAAGCCCCTCATCTCTGTGAGACCAGTTATTGTTTGTCCTTTGTTCTCAAAGAGGACCATGGCATTAGGAAGGTACAAGTGAAGTGGATTTAAGTGAGGCAGGGCTGTGCAAAGTCACCAGCCTCACTATCTCCTCTGGAACCATCTGGGTCCATTGGCAAGCTATAGATTAGAATGACTGGGGATGGCCCTGGATGCAGTGGGGGACCTTGGCCTTTTTGAGCTAAGTGGTGCAGTGGATAAAGCACCAGCCCTGAAGTCAGGAGAACCTGAGTTCAAATTCAGACACTTATTAGCTGTGTGATCCTGGGCAAGTCACTTAACCCCTATTGCCTCCAAAAATAAAAGAAAGTAAAATGTCTGAAATACCTATTGGCACCACATGAGATGAGTTAGGCCCTACCTAAAGGTAGGCATGGCCCCTAGGGGGCTCTTGCAGCCTAAATTTCTTTAATCCCATATGTGAGCACCCAGAGGATGTTCTGGCAGAGATGCCTCCCTGAAAGTTTGCCCTGTGGTCCTCTCCAGACCTCTCCCTTGCTCTTTTTCCCTACAGGCTCCCAACACTGTCCTTATCTGCATGGTGATTCTGCTGAACATCGGCTTGGCCATCCTTTTTGTGCATTTTCTGACCTGATGTGGCCTTGGCTCAGGTGAGGTCAGGTGGGGAAGATGCAGGGCCGGCTTCCTCCTCCTACAAGGGTGGGAGGGGATGAGCCAAAGGGATGAGCATACTGCTTGAGTTACATGTACTCCTCAGGTTGCTTCTCGGTGCAAAGCCCTTCCCCACCCCTCAGGTGGCTTCCCAGGTCTCTCAGACCCTGGGACTGTGATACAGGTGAGATGCTTAGAAACAAGCAGAAAAAAATGGGAGAGCAATGCTGCCTAGAGCTTTGACAAGTGACATTGCTGGAATTGTCCTGGACATGAGAGGGATTTATCACTGGTCCCCCAACAGTGTGGGCTGATCTTTAGCTCTATAGCCAGGGCTTCAGTTACAGGGTAGACCAGGGGTGGGGACCCTGTGGCCTTGAGACTACATGTGGCCTTCTAGGTCCTTTGGATGCAGCCTTTTGTCTGAGCCCAGGTTTTACAGAACAAATCCTTTCATTAAGGAGATTTATTCTGTGAAGTTTGGATTCACTTGAGGACCTAGAGGGCTACATGTGGCCTCGAGGCCGTAGGTTCCCCACCCCTAGGTTAGACCCTCCCGTCTGACCTCCTTCCCTGAGCCGGGGAGCCTCACCTGTGTGTTGGACTGTTGGGGAGCCTCCCCCAAAATATTCTGCTTCATAGACCGAGCCTCTACATCCTCTCCCTAAATACTCTCTGCCATTGAGGCCCTGGGGACTCAAGTCCACAGATACTCCCCCTGAACACTCTGCCCTCTGATCTAAGCCTTGAAAACACTGCTCCCTGAGCCAAGACCCCTAAAACATCTCTTCACGGCCTGATCTCTCAAACACTCTTTACAGACACTACCCTCTGACCTAGGTCACCAAACAAACTTCCCTAAAGGTGAGTCAATGGTTTAATCTCTCCGACACTGGCCCCAGATACTAGCCTACATCCTGAGCCTCCTGGACGTTGCACGGGGGCATTAATCTTCAGACACCCTACCTATGTCCTGATTCTCCAGGGACTACCCCACAGCCTGCTCCCTCCAACATTCTTCTCCAGCCCTGCCTCATGACCTGGTACCCAAACACTCCCAAGATCCTTCTCCATGGCCTGGCCTCCTAGGGAGACACTTAGCTGGGACAGTGTCCCTTCTTGCTCTGTGGTGGTCCCCCAGTTTATTCCTTTGTGATGACTTGATCATTTTTTTTTTGCTGGCCTCAGGAGTTCCCACCCATGCAAACGTTGGATCTCTTTGCAACGACTGGATGCCACCGCAGCTGTGGGGAGATGCTGAGGGCGAGATACTGGACCCAGGAACTGGCCGCAGGCTTTCCAGCTCTGGCAGCCCTATCCCTGAAAGAAAACTGCCCTGTGTTCTGTTTAGCTTCCCTGATCCCAATCTGGCTTGGTCCCTCCCGGTCTGGGGTGAGGAAGGGCCCTCCCTCTCTAAGCCCTCTATGAACCTGAGGGTGGCATCACCTACATGAGTGTTTGTGGCTGCACCTGCATGTATACCCAGAGAAGGGGACCAGCAAACCCCCCCCACTCTTTCCACTTGCCTGGAGGCTCAGGTGCAATGGAATGACTCTCCCCAGCCCCTACCCCCAAACTTTACTTTACCAAGGCTGGGGTTTGGTTCCACTCTCCTAGGCTGCTGCTAGCCAGCCCAGGCTCTCTTGAAGGATCCATCTAGAAATTCAAGGAGCTAGTTAAGGGGCTTTCTGACTCCAGTGGCCAGAGGCAGCTGGGAAGGAGGATGGCATGGGGTGAGCAGAAGCATTGGAGAGGCCCTCACTCTCCCTCGTGGGGCAGGGAGGGGAAAAGCTGCCTTGGCTCCGGCTTGCCTGTCTCCCCTTTCTGCTTCTGGGCTGACACTGCAGAGCAAGATGAAGACAGCTTAGACCCAGCCTACCTGCACTATCCCACAAAGAAAGGAACAAGAACAAATCCATCCACTCCAGCTGCCTGAGGTTTTCCCCAGTGGGGAAAACCACTTTGAGTAATGATGTCTTTCCTGACCCCATGGTGCAAAGGGGCTCCCACTGTGGCAGAAGCAGGCCAGGCAGCCCATGGAGTTTTGTTGGGATGGGAGGCTGGGTGCTTGGAGATCACTGCCTATATCTTTGGAGTGCTTGAAAATGACTTTTGGCTTGGCTGGTATAGAGGATGGCAATTGCATGCGCCTACATTTAAAAGCGTTCCTGTCCTTGGTGGGTCTCCCAGGATGTGCCCTTCTGCTGTGGAGAGGGGTGGGTAAGAAAGCCCCAAAGGTGAGCTAGGAGGCAGGGCATCCTGAGGGGGAGGGACTCAGATCTGTGCCCGTGTGCTGGCCTAAGATGAAGCAGGTGAGGAGTGGGACTAGGAGCAGACGTGCATGTTGTAGGAGCCCAGGTTAAGTAAGTGACATGCCTGATTTCTTTCTTGACTTTTCCCCTCTTTGATATCTGGTTTTTGGACAACTTTCTAAGCTCCCCAGGTGGTCCCATGTGAGGAAGACTGCCTCCCAGCCCTTGCCGTAAAGAGGCACTATAGGGAAGGCCTTGGGTGAAATATACCGCTCCTCCTCACCTCCCCCTTCTCCCCGAACCCCTCCCAGCCTCCGTCCTGTGCTTGCCCGAAGCCTCTGAGATTGGGACAGAGATGGGCACAGAGGTGGAGGTGGAGGTGAGGAACACTGTGCTTCCTCTGTGATCTGTTTTCTCTCTTTCTCTCAATACTCCTGAGCCTTGTTCCTGGACCTTGGGATCTTGAGGATATTTGTCGACTTTGCTAAGGTCCGGATCCCAGCTGCCCTTTAGCTTGGTTTAAATCTCAGCTCTGATTTCTACACAGGGAGGTCAGAGGCACCTACCCTCTTGCTCTAGGCTGCGATGGGGTGCCCAGTCTAGTTTCTGTGTGGTGGTGGGAATTGACCTTTCAAAGGAGGTACCTAAAAGTGCCTGCTACCTCAGGCGAGAGCACTTCATTCCCCAGGACTGGCAACAAACATTTTAGGCCTGGTTCCAGCCCTGGGATGTTCCCCCTTTCTTGTCATGCCTAGGTCCAGAGGATAATGGCAGGGGAGGTGCCTGTGTGCTACGTCCTGGCCTGTCTGTCTGTCTCTTTCTGCTATATTCTGTGCGATAATAAAGATACCTGCTCACCGTCCCAGGCCAAGGCCTGTGTATTGGTTCTATATGTGGGCCATACTCTTCTCTCAAATAAGGTGATTGGGGGTGTGTGTGCCGAATATTCAGGAATAAGAGAAATCCCTGATTGTAAGTGGGGTTTGGTGAGGGAAGGGCTTGGGGGTAGGGGGATGGACCAGATGACCTCTGGAGGTGTCATCCATCCCTGGGACCCTGGGATTTAACTGTGCGTGACTTCACAGAATGTGTGAGAGATCCAAGAAAAGTTGCTTATCTTTTTGGGGCCCATCTCACTCTCCTTACTGCTTCTTAGGTCCTATTTCCTTTACGATCACTCTAAGGGGTGAGGTGATAAGTGGTTCAAGTTTCTCCCCTTCCCAAGCTATTTTTATGTTCATAGTGTGTGTGAGAGAGAGGGGATTGAGGGGGTTGAGGGAGGTGGAGAGGAGGCAAGATAAGAGCAGAGGTTTTAGAGATAGAAGGGGCCTTGCAGATCCCCTTGTTTTTATGTAGGAAGATGCTAAGGGTCTGAAAGAGAAAAAAATGACTTGCCCAAACTCATTTAGTAGGTGACAGAGTTGGGTATGAACCCAGGTCTTCTGATTTCAAATCCAGCGTTCATGGAGGCCCGAAGGAAAAGTAAAATTTTAGGCATCTGTTATAAGTATCTGGGGGAAATGTTTTGGGTCAGGGAGGCCTACCCAGTGTCCAATATGGGATACTTGGACTGAGTGTGTCAGGCTGGCCCTGTCCCATAGGAGAGGAAAAGAGGGGCCTAGGGGTCTTGAGGGGGCTTCAGTCTAAGGGTCCTTGAGATGTGAGTGTGAGGTGTCAGAGATGTGCTAGAAAATAGTTAATAACCAGCTCTCCCCTCAAAAGTATGCATGATACACTTTTAAGTGACATCAACATTATTAACATTTTCTTCATGACTTTCCCAAGTCTAGACAGTCAACAAAATAATAAATCAAGCTCTGATTTGCAGTATCTGCTGACTTCCAAGGTGAAAATTTAACAATAGGCTCTCGTAAGAAATGATTCCAGGGAGGCAGCTAGATGGCACAGTGGATAGAGCACTGGCCCTGGATTCAGGAAGACCTGAGTTCAAATGTGGCCTCAGACACTTACTAGCTGTGTGATCTTGGGCACTTAACTCTGCCTCAGTTTCCTTATCTATAAAATGAGTTGGAGAAGGAAATGGCAAACCACTCCAGTATTTTTGCCAAGAAAACCCCAAATGGGGTCATGGAGAGTCGGAAGCGACTGAAAAACAACTGAACAAGAAGTCACTTAACTTCTGTCTCAGTTTCCTCATCTGTAAAATGGGGAGAACAATAGCACCTACCTCATGGGATCGTTGTGACATAACACATGTAAAGCATTTTGCGAACCTTGATGCCCTATACAAGTGCTAGCTGTTATTATTTTAAATGCTAGCATGACGAAGATATGGAAGGTGGACAAGGAGAGGAAGAGAGAGGAGGACCTCAACCCCAACCTTCTCCCTCGGGCTAAGGCACCTGCCCCGAGCAGGTGGGAGACCTTACCCCTAATTCTCTGCGAGACTTTGATCAAGGGTCAGAGCCTCACTCTCCTCTTCTCTGAAATAAAGAAGCTGTACAAAAGATCCCTAAGGGCCCTTCCAAAGCTAGGGGAAGCTTTGGGACCTGGTGATGGGGGGAGATGTGAGAGGCTGGTCCTCCAGCTGCCCCCTGTTAAGGCTTCAGAGCTCCCTACCTGGAGTACAGAGGGATGAGGATGATGCGAGGGAGCCCCCTGCTGGCCATCATGATGCTGCAGAGGCCGGCTCCCCCAACAGCCGTGGCTCTAGCTGAGGGCCTGATGGGCAGGACCAAGTCCCAGCCCTCCCAGCATCTCGCCCGGCTTCTCCTTCCACTCTAACCCAAGACCACACTGCCCTCAGAGCTCCCCAGCCCTCTGCTCTCCTCCTGCCTCCCAAGCCCTGCCACGAAAAGGGCTCTGGGGGAAAGGAAGATGGGTGTGTGTGTGTGTGTGTGTGTGTGTGTGTGTGTGTGTGTGTATGTGTGAGGGTGTGTGTTGTACATGTGAGTGTGTGTGTGTGTGTGTGTGTTTGGGGGGGGGAGGATTACGAGCTTTCCCCAGCTCTGGAGCTGGAAGGAACCCCAGAAGCCATCTGGCCCAGTCCCACCCACTCTACCCAAACCCTTATTTTGCAGATGAAAAAACTAGCGTGGGGGAGACTTAGACTCTTTAGCTCAGCTGGCACACTGTGCCGCCTCCCAGCCGGGCTCAGCGGGCAAGGACTAGCCCATAGGATTAGTCCATGAAAAAGGAGGAGATCTCCAGCCAAGGGGGTGCTCAGGGTCTGCTCTAAATTGCATCCCAAATCTCAGCTTTTTACTTCAGGGGTTCTTGTGAGGAAAGCACTTTCCAAACCTGAAAACTCTACTAAGCACCTACTACGTCCAGAGTACCAGGAAAGCCACAAGGTGTAGATAAGACATGGTCCCTGATCACTTACACATCATAGTTCACTTCTACAGTAATTTCCTCATAACACCCTGTTGAGGCAGGTAAGGTATTATTATCCCCGTTTTGCAGATAAGAAAACTGAGGCTTTGAAAGGTTAAATAACTCGCCAGTGACCATATAACCAGGAATTGTCCGAGGCAGGATTTGTACCTAGATAGAACTCTTGACACCCCAACACATTCATCATGTATTATAGTCGCTTGTATTACATTCCTTTCCCTTCACTAGAGTATAGACTCCTTGGGGACAGTTTGGTATAGTGGGTACTGTGCTGTGTTGGGGAGGGGTGAGTGCAAAGTGTTACATGAGATCAGAGAGGGAAGATCAGAATCGATGGGGCATTGGGCATCAGAAGGGCCTTCCCTGGTGGATGTGGCATTTGAGTAAGCCTTTAAAAGGAGTAACAATCCCAGAAGAAGAGAGGAGCTCTCCTGACTCTGGAGGTGATCTGAGGGGCAATGATAGCCCTCCCTTCAGGGCTGTTGCTTTGGCCTAAGTTCTGCCTCCAGAAGACCCCTGTCTAACTGCAGCAATGTCATCCAGGAGTACATGGTGGATGACATTCTGAGGAAGGTCCAAGTAGAAGAGATATTTCCTATGGATGAGCAAATCCTCCAGATTCTCCCACGTGAAGACGATATCGTGCTAATTGTGTCAAGCTCCAGAACATTATGGGGCCTCAGCAATGAAATCTATAATTACTCAAAAAATATTGGCATAATAATCCATGCAGGAAAAACTGTATGGATGACAGTATGATTGTCTTGACAATAATGTATCTGGGCCAGGAATATGTCTGACCCTGAAGATGAACAGGGCCCAGCATTGTATAGCAGAGACAGATGAATGAATGAATAGGAACTCAGTAACATTAGAGTGTGAGCTTCTAGAGGGC